AGAATTCGCGTCTTTAATAAGCAGTCATTGATCAATAGTCTCAATTCACTTCACATTTCTCATATTCTAAAATTATAATGCTTCATTTTATTTTCTTTTTAAATAATTGAATTAGCGATAACCATGAAGGAACTTTTAGATTTGTGTAAAATGAAGTTAGGATCGATGTCGTTGAATAATCGTGAAATGGAAAATTCTTATGAAAATTCATTTATCTTATTTTACTGGGGAACAAAAATCTGGTGAGTTTTTAGCCCAGAGCAGGAGAATTCATTGAAATTGACAAAAGGGAAATTACATGGGCTCAATTGACTTGGTTCATCTCGTTCATGTAGGTGCAGCAGCTCTTGCGCGTATGTAATGTTGATGACATGTTCTACACATAGTTAACAATTATGACCAATTTACTTTGACTTTTGTGGAAAATTTGGCCTGCATTTGAAAGACAGTGGGTCTGCAAAAGGCTTGTAAAATACGAGGGAAGACTTGGACATGAATATGACTATACAATAGCAGAGTTGCTATGATATTTTAATTAAAATAGCTGAGTAACTACACAGATTACGATATTTCTTGACTGAGTAATGCTAGAAAGTGAAGTATCACAATATTTATTTAATTCCATTAGCTAATAAAACATTGGCTTAACTACTACAGTGTCCCCTGAAACATTGGTCAATTCTCACTTTTCCCCCTCAAAGTTAAAGTGACTCACTTTGCCCCATTGACCGATGTTTTGTGTCTCACTTTGCCCCTCACCGTCAAGTCTGTTAAAAATTATGTTAAAAAAGCTGATGTGGCACCAATGGGACCCACTATAAGTGCACCTAGGTTTTTTAATTACTTAAAAAAATTAAAATATAAACATAAAATAGAAAATAAAATAGATTTTAGAAAGGAAGAAAAAAAAAACAAAAACCCAACCCATCCCTTCTACCCCAATCGCACCAAATCCTCCCCTTCCTTCTCTGTCCTTGTAATCCCCCCACGCACCAGAAACCCAAAGCTCCCCGCAACCCACCCTTCTCCCTGTGCAGAACATGGAAAGCCATCACCCCCCACCCGCAACCCATACCTCCCTGCGCAGAACCCAGAACCTATTCCTCCACCCCTTCCTACGCAGAACCCAAAAACCCATCGGCCCCCCTCCCCTGGTAAACCACTCTTGTTAGGTTGATTTTATATGCAAGTTTTATACCCCTTACACTTATTATTTAGTCATGATTTTATATTAAATTGGTGAGTTTAATGTGTCTTGTGTGAGTTTTTGTAGAAAAGATTGTTCGTGAATAATACATCATATAGGGAATTGGATCAAAATTATTGCCTTCGATATAGGATAAAAATCTGGAAAAATAAGCAAAACTGACTTTAGTTGACAGAAAAAATTCCCAGAAACCGTCGCTAAAAGTATGAACAAGCCTTTTGTGACAGAGAAAATCTTTGAAGATCGTCACTGAAGCTCTTTTATGACAGAAAATCTGCAGAAATTATGCAGCGAATTTACAAGTTTATTTTCACTTTTTGAGCTTCTAAACGTCCCAATTCAAAATGTAGGTCGAATTTCTGTCCCAAACCTATTCCAACACATCATATTATACATTCTAAACATGTTGGCATCATCAAATTAACTTCACAAACATCCAAAATTAATTTAGGTAGCTAAGTTGATTATGACCAAAATATGAACTCAAAGTGCAATTTTGCAATTTATCTGACATATAACAACAAAACCACTCCAAACACATTTGAAATGACAAACTAAACATGTTCAAATCATCAAGTGGGTGAATCTTGGTGGACAATTGGGCGCCAAGATTTGCTAAAATTTCCCTTTCACCATCTGTAAGGTTCTTCTTTGATCCCAATGCCCTCGCTATGTTTCTCGCTGCAGCAATTAAGTCTTCTTGTCCTTCCATTTCCGGACGCATAGACTTGCAATCCCCCATAGACATACAAGAAACAGAGCAAAATGTAGACCAACAACTAAAACCTTTTCAAATCAACGGCAAGAACTGAAAAACTTTGGCAATTGAACCGAAACCTCCAATTTCCAAGAATCAGAAAAGTAAACAATACCCTCTTGCTGGCACAAATCAAAATCAATGCTTTTGTATCCAATGAAGTAGTTTATGTTGAAAACTGGCGAAGACCCAACACAGAGAAGGTGGTTCTTGGAGACTACCTAATTCAATACTGGTTTCGGAATTTTTTTATTGTTACAGCATTGAAAGTGGTCCCTTCCTCTGGATGATTCTTTACTTGGCATAACAATACTATAATTTGGGCCAAATTAGACACAATATTATATAATCTTCCTATGATGCAACAATAGCTTCTCTTCTGATGGATTTGTTCTCTCTGTGCTTGAGCTCCTCCCAGCTGCCATTTTAGCTCCGGCCTCGGTCCTCTCCCTCGAGGACCGCCAGGTCTTGGCTTACTTGATAACCCGGTCCATGAAAACCATCCCTAATATTTCTTCGATCCCGACCCAAGACCCCGAGAAGAAATCTTCCAAGAAAGGCCCCAAGTCCACCAGCGCCAGCACCCACCAGCCCCAAATGTTCGATTGCGACTGCTTCGATTGCTACAGAAGCTACTGGTTCAAATGGGACTCTTCCCCCAACCGCGAACCCATCCACCAAGCCATCGAAGCCTTCGAAGATCACCTGGCCAACGACGAGAAGACCAAGAAGAACAGCGGCAGAGGCAAGAGAAGAGACAAGCTGAGCCGTCGCGAGGCCCGAAATCGGTCGATGTTGCTGCCGAAGATTCTATCTTTCTGGAAGAGAATGCTCAAGTTTCACATGAGCTTGCCATTGAAAGCTCTGGTTTTGGTGGGTTCCAATGAGAAAGCGGATGGGGTCGAAGAAAATGACGTGGCGATGATTGCACTGTTTAAAAGACAATTTTTATTTTTTATTTTTATTTTCTTCACACATGGCATTTAGTTTAGCTAAATAGTGGGTCCCATTGGTGCCACATCAGCTTTTTTAACATAATTTTTAACAGACTTGACGGTGAGAGGCAAAGTGAGACACAAAACATAGGTCAAGGGGGCAAAGTGGGTCACTTTAACTTTGAAGGGTAAAAGTGAGAATTGACCAATGTTTCAGGGGGCACTGTAGCAGTTAAGCCTAAAACATATTATTAGTACTAGAATGGTTTGGTATACATATCTTTGCTTCAAGCTAACTAGTCACTGTAACTACAAAAGAGTCGAATGTGAAATATATTATGTGCACAAATTTCCCATTGATATAATATTAGGCTTCAATCCACTGGCTTCAATCCATTGATATAATATTAAAAGTCTAATTTTATAATTTAAAACCACTAAAATAAAATAAAAATAAAATAAACTCGATAATAATAAAAATCCCCAACAACTACGCAGATTTTAAAGAGGTAGGCTCCTCAACGTTTTACGTCTTTAAAGAGAAGAGTAATCTGGCAATAGGATGTAGAGGAGTTTGTATTTTTCTAAAACTTAATATGAAGAGTGGTGGGGTGTGTGTATAGATGTACTAGGATTAAGTATTAAGTTAGATGACCTTTTTTGCCTTTTTACATAATAATAAAACTTACAGCTTAATGATTTAAGTATTAGGGTGAACAAAGAGAAGTGTGGGGTTTAAATAGAAAATCTCTTTTACAATTTTGTTCCCAAAAAAAAAAAATTCACAATTCTGGAAAGGAAAATTTTGGCTCTTTATTTGGGTCAATTGTTGTTCAGTCAAAAATGATTTTATTTGGTTTAACTACTATTGACACTTTATTTCACCAAAACAGTAACCTCTTTTTTTTTTTTCTCTACTAAAATGCAAACTCATAGATATTGTTTCTTTTCATTTAACAAAAAAAAAAATTCATAAAAACTCTTGGGGCCTGTTTGGTATCCTATTTGAATCCATTTTTTTAAACTGAAAAATAATTTTTGAGTCCAAAGCTCATAATTCGCATTTGGTAAAGCCCAACTCAAAAACAACTTAAACAAGGCCCAATCTCAAAAAAGTGAGGTTTTACAGTTTTTTTTTTTCTCTCTCTCCTCCATCTCTTGTCTCTCTTTGTTTCACCCCTATTGGTCTCCCAGATCTCTCTCTCTCTACCCACTCTCTCTCTCCTCCATTTCTCCTTTCTTTTTTGTTGTTGTTGTTGTTAATTTCAATTTGGGAATATAGGGACGTTTCTGATTGTTTTATTTTAATTTAAATATAGTTTGGAGTTCAATACCAAACAACTTTTTATATCTTAAAATCAATATTTAAAAACTCATGTTTTAAAAAAAAACATTATGATTTTTGAGTTCATTTTTTTGAGTAGAATACCAAACGGCCCTAAGTTTTTTCGTAGTGCTATTAAAAAAAGAAAAGAAAAAAGGAAACAACCTAATTAAGTGTCAAGTGATGCAACATATGACTTCCAATACCATTTACAATATATTTTTCTTTGGCTTTTCAATTTGTACTAATAAATTTGAAGTAGTTTGTTGCTCATTGTTTAAGTGAAATTGAGCATTGATATCTGCTTCGGACCTCAAGCGTCTGGAAAAAGTCTCCTAAGGAAGGAAGCATTTTCCTCGCTTAGCCCAAAAAAGAAGATAAAAAAAACAGAACATTTTCCTCGATTACGTTTGATAAATACTTTCCATTTAGCATTCTGTCACAATTTTCTGGTTATCATGAATATCCTTCTGCATTTCAACTTATTGTGGATTGGGCTACCAGCCTATTATGGATCTGCTCTGCGGGTATGGTGGGAAGAGCCTCTAACTGAGAGAGATCAATATCTAGGATATGTTGGAAGATGCACAACCTCAACTGTCTTCAAAGATTGAGTATACCTAATTTATTTTATAATTTATTTACAATTTATTAGGGACATTTCATTTGATATTCTTGGAGAGTTGTCAAATGGTTGAGGATTGGAAATATACAAAGAAATATGTTAAACAAAATATACGCTACCATCAATATAAAGAGGCAAAAATGAAAAAGAAAAAGAAAAACGAAAATCTTCTTACATCATAGCTTGAAACCTTTGCTTCCCTTCAATTGTTGTTGTTGCTGCACCACGAAAATCGAAGCATTGCAGTCGAAATCTGATGAAACAAGCAGGTCCCCGATGACCCCCAATTCAGGGAACTCACTCCACTCTGAGAAACCTAATGTCTGAGGGGAATCCAAGCCATTCCTCCTCCCAACTATGATAAGCTCAAACTCATTCATTATAGACCGAAGGATTCGCGTTGTTTGAACTGCATCTTTCGCCGTCTCTTCGACATATGTAACATGCGCATTTGCCACACTTTTCTGCTTAAATTCCTTCAACACCTCATTATCAAGAACTTTTTCCCAATCATTCATAGTTTTACCATCCTCAGCATCTAATCGTACCACGGTTAGGCTAAAGCTGCCGGGGTCTTTGGTCACCCGTTTCGCAAATGTCAAGGCCTCCCTATCGTCGCGTCCACCTAAGAAGATCATGGCAACGCGATACAACTGTGATGAATGTCTCAAATGACCACGATGGACAATAATTCCAATGGAGCAAGGAGCCCTTTCAAGGACACTACAATTTAGTGCCCTCCTAGCATTGCCCTCAGACTCTATGCTGCCATCAAAAGCGAATTTTCGATGAAATGGGAGTAATATAATTGATGTAAGTTTGTCAAGTGCGAGTGTACATATATCCTCATGCATTAGGTTGGATGGAGAGATTGCTGTAAATATGTTTGCTGATACAGCACCTTGATTGTTGAGTTGATACTGGTTGAAGGGGCCGATGACTTTTTCGCTAAAGTGAATGTTAAATGTAACCTTTTCATGAATCTGGTGGGCAATAAAAACAGGGGAGGCTCTGCCAACAAGCTCAATAAGGTGAAGGGCATTGACAGAAATTGGACTCCCCCCAGTTGGACATGAAACATCAAGAAGGTTGATGACAGGAGCAACATCGTATTGTGAGTGAATACATGCAAGTATTCGGAGCTCAGCATTCGGTTTCATATCGATGATGTTCCTTTTTTGGTAGCCTGCATATTTGCTCGAAGGATCATACAAGTAGTTAACCATGCTAGGCACCAGTATTGCAATAATCAGAACACTAACGAGCAGCACCGCGAAAGTTTGATCATCAATCGTCTGCAATGTTCAAGGGGGGAAAAAGGAAAACAAAGACTAGTTATATATGTTTTCCATGGGCATCGTCATTCGAATATGTCTGAATGTTAGTGCCTGTATATACCAGATAGAACAAGAGAAAAGAATAATATTTTTAAGGCTTAATTAACTAGGTACCTTATAGTCATGGAATAAGGAGTATGATGCCAACTCAACTATGCCTTTGGAGCTCATTATGAAACCAATTGCGAGAGCATCATTGAAGGGCATCTTGCAAATCAAAGATGGCACAAAACTGGCCATTACTTTGGACACAAAAGTTACCACCAGAAGGACAATGTCCAGTGTTAACAATTTACGATCATCTCCGATGGACGAAAGATCAGCCTTCATTGCACATATAGTCACAAATAGTGGCGTGAAAACTCCAGAGAAAAAACAATCAAACTTTTTCACTATAGCAGCGCCTAATGGTGGTCCATCTGGAACTGCCAAACCCAAAATGAAAGGACCTAAAAGCGCGGTTTGATTAAACATATCAGAAAGAACGCCAGACAACAGAACCATTAGAAAGATGGCATATATGTATGCATCCTTAACAGGCCTGCCTGCTGGTGTATGTTTCACAATCCAAAACAGGGCAGGACGAATGATGAACACTACCGCAAGAATATAGGCGATAAGTGATCCAATGTCCCTGTAAATTTTGTATGTTGGCTGTCCAGTTCCCATGAACGCTCTGATAAAACTAGCAGTACTTGTTGTAATCACATTGATCATGTCACTGACCAGGCCGGAAGATAATCCCAACCGGCCTAGTTCTGAATTTAGGAGTTTGAGATCCTGAAGAAGGCTAGAAACAACTGCAAATGAAGTCAGAGAATGCGTTACCGCCACAAAATAAACCTTGTCGTCTTCTTCTTCCTTGAAGACATATGTGCAAGCAAAGGTGGTTAACAAGCCACATACTATGGGCACTACAAGTGACAAAATACCAATTGTTAAAGCTTTGTGTCCTGTTTTCTTTATCATGCCTACATCCATTTTCACCCCGGTTAGAAACATGAAAAAAGCATAACCAAACACCGATGCCATGCCAATCACATCTTGACTGAGAAGTGGAAACAAGGATTCTTTGCCAGACTTGTCTTTGATTGAAGGTCCAAGCAGTATGCCAGTCTAGAATTCAAATAACACCTCTTATTAATCCCACAAAAGCTTTGCAGTTTCATGACTTTATACTATTTGGTTATGAATTAAATCCACATCCAGATAAATGGGATCATTTTATATTTCACTATCATGTGATCAAATAAAGAAATAAACAATTAAGAAACCTTAACAAGACAGAAGAGTATTAGAGATGGAACATACAACAATTTGTGAGATGACCTTTGGGAGCTTGAAACGTTTGAAGAAAAGGTGATGGGTGACTTGGGTGATGACGAAAATCACAACAATCTGGAGCTCCAAAAGAGGCACTAAATGACTGGCACGAACTAGCGGCGCCGGAGATTTAAAGACATCATCCCAATTGCCACCAAATTCCATATTGGGTGGTGAGCTGAAGCAAACATTGAAGAAAGTTTCATTGATCTTGTGCAGTGCGATGACATCTTCCTCCAAAGTTGAAATATTTTTGTTGGCCATCATTACATATAATTAACTAAAAGTTTTTTGCAGAAGATAATTCAAAGGCATGCACATAAGGGACATGGGAAAGAAAGAAAGCAAGGTTGTATGAGGGCAATGCATGCAGAAATGTAAAGGGAGATAAAAAGATGTTACAGTTCTAACAGCATTGGTTTATGACAAAACACTCGAACTATGTCATACACACTTTCACCACCTACTTTATTAGCAACCGCGTTAATTAATCACACTCACCTAACCACATTAACAATGGAACTCATCTTTGCTGGATGATTCTCCATTAGTTACAACCATATATGCTTCTTATTATTATTTTAAGTTTACAAGAGTAATTGATATTAAGATTTGTAATACTAGGTATACCACATTTTTATACCACATTGTGCACCACGTGTCTAATAGAGGTGGAGCCTACCAATACAATGGGGTCCACCTCTATTAGAGAGGTGGTACACAATGTGGTATGCCTTGCATTTTCCTATTAAGATATACTACTATTTATGAAAAGGGAAAAAAAACAACATATCCACTTCATCCCATAGTTAGTCTATACATATAAAGCAAAAGACAGAGAATCATGAAACATTCAAAATGCTAGAAAATGCCCTTGGTTAATGCAAACATTAAGAATTGAAATTATTAATTAAATAAGGATAATATGGTAAATTCACACTTTTTCATATTAAAAAAAATTAAAATTAAAAGAAAAATCAGATAATAGATCCTATTTTTATTGGAACACAACTACCTATTATCTTTTTAATTCTAAAATAAATTTATATATTTTTTTATAAAAAGAGCCTCTCACATGAGCAGAAGCGCGTACAAAAAGGCTAGTAAAATATAAGGACGGAAAAAATACGAATAAAGTGTAGTGTAGGGTGTAAAAGGAGAGACAAAGTAAAAGGAGCGAGAGGATGTAAGGCCATCTCCAGCCATGGGCTATATCCCAAATATAGCCCTAAAATAATACAAAAATCATATCCAGTCATGGGCTAAACAAAATTTTGGCCAAATTTGGAGGGCCAAATTTGGACCTATAGCCCTCCAACCAGGCCACATATAGCCCAGCTTTGGGCTAGGCCAAATTTCTAGTGGGAGCCACACATGTGCTTTTCAAGAACCCAATTAAATAATGCTGGACCATTTTGAATGTCCAATTCGTACTGTATGAGAAACAAAGTATAAAAAATTGTTGGTAAATGACCGTTGGGTCAGACCTACCCCACTTCCTTTTTTTTTTTTTTAAACAATAAATGTGGTCAGACCTCACCATTTTGAATCACTTCGTACTGTATGAGAAACAAATTATAAAAAATTGTTGGTAAATGACCGTTGGGTCAGGCCTACCCCACTCCTTTTTAAAAAAATAATAATAATAAATGTGTTTACACCCTCAAATTATGGAATATTGTCTCTAAATAGTAGTTTAATTAAATTAATCAATATATAGTGTGGAATGTATGAGTATTGTACCATAGTTTTTCTCAAAATAATAAAATATGAAGGATCCTAAATTATAGCCCTACATGGCTGGAGATGGAAAAATTTAGCCCTGCACTATTCTTTAAAAAATTAATATTTTGGGGGGCTAAATTTTTAGCCCTGGACTACATTTAGTCCTATGGCTGGAGATGGCCTAAGCTCATTTAATTAAGAGGCAGGAGGGGAAAGGTTTATCCAATGGGTGGGTTGTTGGAGTCCAGATCTTCTGTCCCTCTTTTTCCTATACCAACCCTGTACCCTATCTAATTCTTTGACACCTCTCTATTCACTTAACTCTTTATTTTTATTTTTTAATCACACTTAACTCTTAATACAAAGCGTCAGCTTTTAATAAATTAAGCATAAAAAATTTGAAAATTAAACAAAAAAACCAACATCCACCAACCAAACTCCCACCCACCCAACACCGTCAGCCAACCCACCCCGCCGGCAGCGGCACATTCTCCACCTCGCCGGCAGCGATACTTTCTTCACCTCGTCGGCAGCAATACCTCCACCTCGTCGGTGACAACACCGTCTCCACCTAGACGGCGAGAACACCGCCTCTTCCTACCTCTCTTTCTCTTTCGTTCTTGAAGATAATCTCATATCTGGATCTAATTCAGCGAAGCTCATCATTCAATCCCTTGCAAGTGAAGTGATGGATCTATAACATGTATTTTGCACACAAAAATCTCAAACAAAACGACCCCAAAAGAATACAGATTTTGCACAAAGGGATGGATGCCTCTGTCTGTTGGGCCCAATGCTCATCCAGATTTAACACTTTCTTCAAGAAATAGAAAACCAGATAGAGAGAGATAATGGTGAAATATTCTAAATATCAGAAAATGCCTTTGGTTAATGCAAACATTAAGAATTGAAATTATTAATTAAATGGGGATAATATGGTAAATTCACATTTTTTTATTTTAAATTTTTTTAAATGAAACTAAAAATCAGATAATAAATTCTATTTTTATGGAACACAACTACCCATTATCTTTTTTAATTCTAAAATAAATTGAAAATTTTAAAAAAATGCTTAAATGCTAAAATGGTCCATGTGTTTTACTCATTTGGCCAATTTAATCCCCATATTTTTAATTTGATCAATTTAATCCCTGTGTTCTATTCCGTTAGTCAATATTGTTCATTCCGTCAAATTAACTTAAAATATTCATTAAAGCTTTAAAAATTAATAAAAAATTATTGAGTTCAGTTTACAAATAAATAAAAATTATGAACACAAATAACAAAATTAAATATAATTACATAATAAAAAATCTGGAAACCCAACAGCCTCTATGTCGTTTTCTCATGCCGCTTCCACCGAGAACTAAATCAAAACTAGGCCTCCATTCTAGTTTGTTGCTATACTCATAGCAAGGAGCATCATTCTTCTCTGGCAAGTACAAATAAATCCCCAGGAAAAAGCAAGGAAAGCTCGATGATGTTAGTCCAACGGTTGGCTTGAAGCCATGAAATCATCTTCACCTCCCTAGAAGAAGCTCAATAAGGATTTCAATGTTGAGGTTGTTTGAGATGATGTTGATAATGCTTACTGCCAGGGACGGTCCCATGAACATGTTAACTTGGGCTATAGCCCAGGGAACTTCTTTGTTTTGGGACTAAATTAGTACTCTAGTCTAGGAAATCAGCCGGATGACAAGAAGAAAGAACATAGAGGAAGAAGAAAGAAAGAAAAAGGAAGAGAGGAAGAAGAATAAAGAGAGAGAGATAGAAGAGGAAAAAGAATAAAAAAAATAGAGGGGGAGATGATAAACAATAGGAAAGAAAGAGAGAGAAGAAATAGAATAAAAAAAGGGGAGAGGAGGAAATAGAATAAAGAAAAGGATGTGTGTGTTGGGATGAGTTATGTGTTTTTATTTTATTTTTACTTCAATTCCTTCTAAATATTTCCCAGAACATGTGTAGCTTTCCTCTGTTTTTTTTTTCTTTGTTTCCCTTCAATCCCTTCCAAATATTTCAACAATTTATCAATAATTCCAAGATTTTTGTCTATTTCAAATGTCAGTAGAATAAATAAAAAGTTCTAAATATGATAAAGAAAATATATATATTGGAAAAAGAGGGCTTATAATTTTTTTTGGGAACAAACAAGAGCTTATAATTTACCCCAAAAAAAAAGGTATCCATTAAACACAGTCTAAAAAAATATATCAATCACTTGATTCGTTTCAATATTTAGCCTACTCCTACAAATATTCCTAGCTTTGCCCTTGAATTTAGCCCATGTTATTTTCAAATCTTGGGTTCGTCCCGGCTTACTGCTCTTGGATGGTATATATGATTCTATTTTAATAACTTTACAGTTTATATCCATTTGTTATGGTATGACTTTGAACTTAATTCGTCTTGTGCTTTCTATGATGATGCAGCTTAAGCATCCATCAACGCTGAATTCGTTCAAGTGGATTACAAATTCTGTGGGGTGGGTGAGAGAGACAGAGAGATAGAGAGAGAGACAGAGAGACAGAGAGATAGAGAGAGAGACAGAGAGACAGAGAGACAGAGAGACAGAGACAGAGACAAAATAGGTGGTGGTTGGGACTACTCATGGTGGTTCTGGTGATGGGTGTGGTGGTGGTGATGGCATGAGAGAAGAAGGGCATAGAGGTTGTTAGGTTTCCAGATTTTTTATATTTGTATTCAAATTTTTTTTATTTTGTAAATTGAACTTAATATATTTTTTTATTACTTATAAAAATTCCAATGAATTTTTTAATGGTAATTTGACGGAATGGACAATATTGGCTAATGGAGTAAAATACATATGGACTAAATTGGCCAAATTAAAAACACAGGGACTAAATTTGCCAAATGACTATAACACATAGACCATTTTAACATTTAACCCTTTAAAAAAAGCATCTCGCATGTGTGGAAGCGCGTGTGGAGAGTGAGAAGAATGTATCAAGTTTCAAGTAATCCCTCACTTTTCTTTTCCTCGTGCATTAAGAAGGTATCTCGCAGAAATTCATTAATATAAAACTGGTAACAAAATAATCCTTAAAATCCAAGTTAATTATTTGAAAATTCCTTCACAAGTTTGAGAGGAAACTGGTGGAGATATTTTTTTTTTTTTTCTTTTATTTTTTTCTTTTAAAGTTGATAAATCAAGGAAATGTGCTACAAAAACTTGGGCCTGGTATGCATATATGCTTTGAGCTGGATGTTCAGAGAAATATTTAGGTATAGCTTTTAAATATTCTAAAACCATCCTTTTGAAAAGAGTAGCAGGATCCCCTTCGCTTGAAGAAATATTTGACACTTGAGTTATCAATGAAGAGAATACGTAAAAGTGATATTTCCTTGTTAGAGTTATCAATAAGGAGAATACGTCAAGTATCCCCACACTTTTATTTTCCTTGTCATAGAGGGCTAGTATTTATACCAGCCTTCCTCGTTAGTTAAGGTTAAGGAGGTATATACTCTCGCTTATCATTCTTTATT